ATCTTCTGAAGAAGAGAATCTTGCAGAACAATTGGAACATTTTCAATTGGAAGCCTTGGACAAAGTAAACTCTACATAAATCTAAATAGTTTTCAAATTAATCAATTGTTATCCATAGAAATTCCCAATTACAATATACGATTATTAAGAGATACAGGATCACATGCATCATTGCTTAGCTGAAACGTATTTTCTAGAATCAATCAAACCGTTTGTTAGTATACTTCAAACATGCACTGATTCAAAAAAAAAAAACTACTAATAAAGCAAATATTCCACTATTTTCATGTTTCGGAGTATCTAAACCAATTGAATTCATTCTATTTCTAAACCTAAATATCGACCTCAATAATCAACTACCTAAAAATCACTATTTGGAAATTCCATTCCAATATAGACAAGAATTCGACGAATATGCAAATGAAATTACACCAGAAACTATTCAAAAATCTACATTTAAAACAAATCTACCCAACAATACCACATGGATAATGCCATATTTCCGTGATGATGAAATTGAAATTCAATCAACATTAGTGACTATAATCAACAACACTTATACAATAGACGTGTTTAACCACACAGAAAGATCGATAATTTTAGAAGAAAGTAGAAAGGAACCTCTAGAACCAATCGAACTCAATAATATTGAAATATTTAATTTTAGCCTCGATTTTGACATAAATAGCGACAAAAAAAATTGAAAGAGTAAATCCTTTTGAAAAACTTAATTCAAAATCTTTAATAAGATACGATCATTTAAATCAAGAAGAACGTGAACGACTTTCCATATTGCTCAGAAAATTTGGCAATGCTTTACATAAACCTGGAGATTAATTAACATTCTCAAATCAAGTCAAACATGTAATAACTACAACGGACGAAATCCCAACTCATACAAAAAATTTATAGATACTCTTACATTCACAAAGACGAAGTAAATAGGCAAATCGACCAAATGCTTCATGATGGAATCATCCAACCATCCTGTTCTCTTCGGAGTTCCCCTATATCGATTGTTCCTAAAAAAACAGATGCGTCAGGATAAAAGAAATGGAGACTAGTAATTGATTACAGCAAATTAAATAAAAACCAGTGGGTTTCACCAGATTGAAATGTACCCAAAAGGTATTCCTAAAACAGCATTCAATATAAACGGACATTACGAATACACACGTATGCCCTTCGGGTTAAAAAATGCTCCTGCTGCTTTCCAATGAACAATGGATAATGTTTTACGAGGATTACTAGGAAAAGTCTGTCTAGTATATATGGAATATGGATAATATCATTATTTATCCAACCAGCCTTCAAGAACACATAAACTCTTTAAAACTAGTATTCGAACGATTAAATGTCTTTCAATGTGAAAATACAGTTAGACAAATCTGAATTTTTACAGAAAAGTGTCGAATTTCTAGGACACATCATAACTCCAGAAGGTGTCAAACCAAACACTCGAGAAATAGAGGCAGTCAAAAATTTTTGAATACCCAAAACCCCGAAAGAAATAAAATAATTCCTTGGCCTCGTAGGTCATTAAAGGAAATTTATAAAGAATTTTGCAATTCATTCATTCAATTTCCCGATTTTGAAAAACCTTTCGTATTAACAACTGATGCTTCAGAGTACTCTACTGTTGCAGTACTTTCGCAAGTCCAATTAGTACGGATTTACCTATCGCTTATAGCAGTAGAACTCTAAACTCAGCCGAGTGTAATTACTCATCATTTATTATTATATAAATACGGGCTTGCAGCAGTATAGAATTTTAGTCTTTAAGCAAGCTTTGTCATAGAAACATCTATGTAATTTCGTGTTTAAATAAAATAAAACTTTTCAAAAACAGAAGTTGCATAAAAGTAAATATAATTGTTATTTGCGCCAATATTTTCGATCATAAAACAATATTTTGGGATCAAACTGAACTGTCTATAAAGAAGAAGCATGATATTTTTTTTGGAGGACCTTCACTAAACTAGTACCGTAAAACGGGGCTACTTGAAAACGTATGCAGCTTTGTTCATGTACTGGTGCTGCCGCCAAACGGTTGATTTTAGGATCACCAGTGTTTGACAGTCCGCTAGAGCAGATTATCGGCGGAGTGTTCGCATTGTTTGTGTTCCAATTGCGCCTCGCGTTTTCCCTGGAAACCATTCCAAATATAAGGTAAGAAAACATCAATTTTTATCGTCCGAATACTTTTCATTGTCTACGACTCCTGATACCTCTAATTCAACCACCGAATTTTTTCCTAAGTAAGTTTTAACCGCTTAACCGAAACATAACCTCAAATGCAGCATATCTATCATTTGAGAATCAGTTGCGCCTATAAAAGGAAAGTGGGGAGTAGGCCCTATCAAAATTAGACTAGAGAGGCGCTAAATGAGGCCGTTGCAAGGGATGAGCGTGGCAATTTGATGCAACTGAGTCAGGAATATGGAATACCTTACGTAACATTATACAGGAAAATTAATAATTTGCACACACAGAATCCTGGACATAGTACCGCGTTGACAGAAGATGAAGAGAATGCTCTTGTTCGTGCAATTTGTACAGCATCAGAATGGGGATTTCCATTTACACCCGCAGATGTAAAAGATTTAGTTGAAAACTATTTAAACAGAAAAGGCGTCCAATTAAAGCAGTTTGTGAATAACCGACCTGGGGAAGGTTGGATCCAAAATTTCATGAAACGACATAAACAAGAACTGTCAAAAAGGTTGTCTCAGTCTGTCAAGCAAAGTCGGGCAAAAATTGACCATAAGACAATTAACACATATTTCGACAATTTGGCTCGTGTTCTCGAACATGTGCCACCCGAAGCTGTGCTGAACTACGACGAAACCAATTTTACTGATGAACCAGGGCGCATCAAAGTTATTGTCCGAAAGCAATCTAAAAGGGCTGAAAAAATAATGGATACGTCAAATGTCGAAGAATCTGTTATGTTTGCATGCTCTGCGTCTGGAATATTGCTACCCCCGGACAATTTATGGAATACTTGGACAGAGGGAGGACCTACCAATGCAAGATATAATAGAAGCCGCTCGGGATGGTTCGATTCCAGTCTATTTGAAGACTGGTTTACTAAACTTGCACTTCCGTATTTTAATTCCTTACCTCCTGGTCCAAAAGTTTTGATAAGAGATAACTTAGCCAGCCACATTTCCGTCGGAGTTATTAAAAGTTGTGAAGAGAACAATATTCGCTTTGTTTTGCTGCCACCTAACAGCATTCACTTAACCCAGCCATTGGACGTTAGCGTTTTCCGACCAATTAAAGTCAAATGGCGACAAATTCTACTCGATTGGAAAAAACACAATAAAGGGGTTATAAGGAAAGATATATTCCCCAGACTGTTGAAGCGATGTCTAGAGATTGTTAATAGTAAGAACAGTATTAAATCCGGATTCGAAGCAACTGGGATAGTGCCGATTAATCGCCAAAAAATCCTCTGTAAACTTCCCAAAGTAGAAGATATTGAAGGGGCAGCACAAGCAGAAAATATGTTAGGAGAGACTATAAAAGAACTGTTCCAAGAGGCGAGATTTGGAAAGGCAGGGACGTCTAGTGGGCGAAAAAAGAAATTGTCAGTAGAGCCTGGCAAAAGTATCCGTCAAGAGGATATTGAAAATGTATCGTCCACACAAATCTCAAAAAATAAACCAAAGGAAAAATTAAGACAGAAATCAAAGAGAAAGTCAGCACTATCAAGTTCTGAGAGTGATGAAGACATATTACCACCCAATCTGCGAAAATCCAAGAATGTATGGACCTCAAATGATGATTCTGATTCTGACTCCGAAACATTTTCTGACCTAGAAAATCAAGCCCTAGAGGACGAGCCATCTCAAGATGAAGTCGTTGATGATGACTCAGAGAACAACAATGTCTGTGAAGCAGAAGACGTGACAAACAGGGGTGCGATTTTCGAGTTCACACGAATATTTTCGTGTACGAAGATTTACACATGACTATTTTCGTGTACGATGTCGAAATCGAATTTTCCAACACCACTCGAATAAACGGTCGTATACGAGGAGATTAACAACCGGCAACACCGCATAATCGTATGGCTTTTGAATTTTGACAAGTTCTTGGGGATGGGTAGCAGAAAAGCATCATAACATAACCTACCTTGTATTGTATTTTGTTTGTTGGGCTTGGCTTGTTTATGGATTTTCCATTTTTCGAATTTTCCTCTTGATTTTTTTTTATTCATAATTTTATTATATTGTTGCGAAAAAATGGCTGCCTTATTATCTTCTGCTCTCATTAAGAAATGTGGGAATATTTCGGCAGAACAGAAAAAGGAGCTCGTAGACTTTCTAGATGAGCACCCTGAATTGCGAAGTGGAAAATTTACCCAAGAATTCACGTTCAAGAAGGCTCAGATGCTATGGGTCAAACTAACAGAGAATCTAAATTGTTTGCCTGGAGCCAAAAAGGATTGGAAGCAATGGCGAAGGGTAAGTCAATTAACATGTTTTAATTTAGGGGTGAAAAGTAGATACTTTTTTTTTATTAAGCATACATCATAATCAACGATTATCGCATGCTGCAGCGTGCTTAAAATGATGTTTATGATGCGCCTACCTTTTCAAAGGTTTGCTATAGAAACATTTGATCTACCTTTATTACCTGGTATTCACCTGCCGTTTAAATTACGTATTCACCTGCCGTTTAAATTACTTTACTATTTATCAAAAAGAATGAGCACATTTAAAACATTTTTGGCATTATGATGCATTCGTAATAAAAAATAGCGTATGATATGCATGTATAAGAGGACCTTTAAAGCACTTGCGACTTACATAACACTCCGCTGTGCCTTGTGTTTTGAAATTTATCGCAAGTGCTTTAAAGTCCCTCGTACACACGCATATCATAATATACTATTATTTTTTTTATTTGCAAATAAGATGGATTTTCTAAGTTTTTCATAAAATAATACCTATTTTTTTGTTTTGTTTTAGACATGGCAAGATATGAAATCAATGGCCAAAAAAAAGAAATCAATCATTAGAAACCATGAAAATGCCACCGGTGGAGGACCTGCTATAGATATAAAGTTGACAACTGAAGAAGAAAAAGTTATTGACATTTTAGGCCCCATAGTGATAGAGGGTGATCAAAAAATCCCAGAGTCAAGCTGTTCCTTTGTGTTTGATGATCACAATTACAGTATTGTGGAAGAGACTCTGGAAGAGGAAAACATTGAAGACACATCTGAATATGTAGAGGAGGACATGGCTATAGATTTTGTTGTTGGGGAAGAAGATACACAAAAAGATGAAGCCTCAAATGAAGTACCCTGTAGTAAAGTAATACCCTTGGTGACACCCAAGCGTAGACCTTTTTCAGAACAAAAAGATAATAATTTCAAAGCAAAAAAACCAGTCAGAGTACAAAGACTTCAACGTTCAATCAATGCGAATGACCAATTAGTCAAACTTACTGAAAAAAAAATAAAATTGAAGGAGAACAATTTAAGTTTATACAAGCGAGATGTTGTAGCAAAAGAAAACATAGCATCCAGTTTACAACAATTATGTAATTTTTTCATTAATGAAAAGCAATAGCTATTTAATGTTTGTGATCATTATAGTTTCATTATTTTATGTAAGGTCCTCAACTCAACATATAAGTTGTTTTGTGTCTTTGTTCCTAGTGTATGTAGATATTTTTGGCACCTTGGCTCTACAAAAAATCTGGATTTGACTAGCCACCCAGAGTACAAAATGTCTATGAACAAAACTGGTAGTGATGTTATGTTCCTGTTACTAAGTTCATTACTAGGTATTTATGTCTGTTATTGAAATTTATAAAAAGTACATTTAATGTTGTTAAATAGACTAAGACTGTTGATTTTTGTGTCTTGATTTCATTTATTTGAAACTGACAATTTTTTTTTATTCATATTAAAAATTTCCAGCACTTACTAGGTAAGTACATTTTGTTTTTATATTTGTCAATTAACTATTACTAACAATATACATATTATGTTATCTAATAATAATAATACTTAGTAATAATAATAGTCACAATTTTAAATATTTCATATAATTATCCCATCCTATAACTTCCTGATAAATGTTTTGAAATTTCAATTTTGAGTTGATTAATTTCAAAGAATATCACTGCACCACACTTGCACTTTTCTATCTTGGGTTCAGTGATATTTTTACGAGGGGAAAAATGGGAAGCCGTAAATTGAAACCTTATATTCTATTCCAATTATTATTATAAACCAATTAAAGGCAAATGTGCATAAAATATTTCCTAACGGAAATTTTTGAAAATTTTATTCCTCAGCCAATTTTTTAATAAAAGCATTCGTGCATAGCACCTAAAAAAATCCCTCACCCTGCAGGTTTGGGCACTTGTACTTTTATAAAAAAAATTGACTTTGGGAAAAAATTTGAAAAGTTTCCGGAATATTTTATGCACTTGTTATATTTCTACTGGAAATTTTTCTGGCATAACAAAAATTTGCATGGCTAGTACCAAGGCTGCTACTTTCAATTGATGTCTGTCAGGTTTCGAAACAAATCTTGATTTAAATTTTCTTACCGAACACAACACGTGCCTAAATGATGATCCGGAATTATTTTCTCACTCACGAATATTTTGATAAAATTAATTTTCAAAATATTCCTGAGTTCGAAAAAAATTCCGGAAATAATTTAGGCACTAATGGTAGGTATGAGTGAAAATAAATAACAAATCTGTAAATAATTGTATTTTCAAGTGATACATCTAGTTATGTATCCTGAAGTGATTCCTAATTATCATTTGTTGCATCCGCCTACCTGCAACTAAATCATTGTTTCTTTGATTTTCTAGATTATTATAGTTTAAAGGCTCATCATAAATTCCATAATCAATGTTTATGTTGCGATCCTCTTCATCATCTCCAAACCTGACAGCAGGAATGTTATTTGCAATACAAAGATTATGCAGCAGTACACAGCTATTTATTATCTTAGACGCAGTTGTAGGATCATAATGAAGTAATCTATGTTTTAATAAACAACGGAACCTTAATTTCAGTACTCCATTACATATTTCAATTAAAGATCTTGTTTGCTTTTGAGCAATATTGTATTGTTCCTCAGGAGATCCTGGCAGAGCATTTTGAACTGGGGTTAGCATCCAAGGCCGTAGGGCATAACCTGAATCACCTAAAATAGTAATATAATTTATTTGTTCTTGTTCAATCAATCCTCATTAGACAAAGTTAAAGTTTTTATTGTAAGTTTTATTATGTGGAACCCAAGCTGTCTCTAGTTGTCAGTTTGTTATATGTGATAGATCCCATATACAAGGTGCTCCATCGAAAACAGTCCAGCAAGGTTTACGGCTTTAGACGTAAAAATTAAAAAAAAAAAAACTCGTACCCATAAAACCTTCTTAAGTAATTCTTACATGTTGTCTTATCGAATATTGAAAATTTCCGCCATTCACCTCATCACCTCCATACAATAGTACAACAACTTTTCAAACTGTTCTCAAACATTGTGAAGTGTATTAAGGTGAATGGCAGAAATTTTCAACATTTGATCAGACAAAATGTAAGAATTACTCAATAAAACTACATTTTTTGAAACACAATTTCTCGACAGCTCGTTCCTCAAATTTAAAAAACTAAGTGCTATTTTAAAAAGAATATAACACCCTTTAAAAAGAGGTATCATAACATACCCCTTATTCCCATTTCAACAAATAAGGGCAGTAGCCGCCCCTGTTTGGGGGTTGAAGTTACAGGAATGAAATTAATAGTGAAATGTGTCCCCCTGAAAACAAAAGTTTATGGGTCCAAGATTTTATTTTTAATTTTTACGTCTAAAGCCGTAAACCTTGCTGGACTGTTTTTGATGGGTCACCCTGTATAGATAGGTAGGTATGTATTATCATTATTATGTACCTACCAAGAAAGGCAAACGATTGTTGTCCATTGTTGTGAAGATTTCTTATATAATGGAAAGCATTGCTATTATTCCATACGAAACTATCATGGGTGCTACCAGGATATCTTGCCAGTACATTTCTTATTTTCAAATTGGAGTCACATATCTGAAAAAAATATATCAAGGGTAAGTACTGTGTTGCATTGATGAGGTGGAATAAAAAATGACTGGATCATTTTCACTTACTAGTTGCACATTTATAGAGTGGTACCCCTTGCGGTTCACATAAATCTCTTCTCTAAATATTGGATGGTTTTTTGGTGGATAAATTGCCACATGTGTGCAATCCACACATCCAATTATCCCAGGAAACCGATACTTCCTGTAAAATCTGAAGAAAAAAAAACCTATTAGTTTAGGAATTCACAATTTTCTTCTAAGGCCCAGTTGTATAAGAAGTTGGTGTTTTAAACCAAGGAATGATATGAAGAATCACAATTAGGTATTATGATTTATTATTATTATCCCACTGTTAAAGTACCTAGATATACTTACTCTTCCCTAGTTACACGCAACTCCTCCATATTTCTAGGCATATATACCAAACTATTAAAAATTTCTGGAGAATTTAATCCATCAATTACTTCGTGAAGTGCTTGCGAAACTGAGCTTTGACTTACAGCATGGTTCATATGTTTTCCAATGTCCCACTGGTAAGAACCACTAGCAAAAAATCTAAGAGTCAACAAGACCTACAAAAAAGGAAAAAAAAAAAAATATTATGGCAGAAAAAAAGGTGGTAATGGTTAGTTTAGCACTGCTTATTTCTCTAATTCGATTTGCAGTTGTCTTTAGCTCTATGATAGAATTTATTGTAATTAAGTATAGGTACCTACTTACTTTTCTAACTATGCTTAATGCTGAGATTCTTGTTGGCGCAGTGAGATGAGGCTCCAACATATTTATTAGATCTGAAGCAACAGGTTTTGTGAGTCTATAAAGTTTTACGAACTGCCTGTCTGAGTATTCCTCGAAAGGATTATTAAATGGGTGGAAGATCCTAGGAGGTCTATCAGCCAACTCTTCCGCTTCCTCTATAGCATTTATGAGGTTTAAATGAATTAAATCATCAAAACCTGCCATTGTGTATCTACTTGCTTTCTTGCGTTATATTATTCTGATTATTATAATATTTTTAAACCATTCAAATTCAAATTTGCCTTACAAAAACACAAATGCATATAAACAATTAAATTAATATAGGTTATGTACTATTTCAATCATTTATCCTACACTTTCCGTACACGAAAATAATATTCGAATGGTGAAACCCACTCGAAACAAACCGTACGAAAATATCCGTCTTCGAAGCATATGGGAACGCTCGAAAATACGGTTAGGTGTAATTTCACGTGAATGACGCCATTTTTCGTATACGAGATGTACTCGAATGGTTTCGAAAATCGCACCCCTGTACCGGTGTCGTCGCAGAAATTAATTGCGGTGATTATGTATTTGTGGACTTGAAAACAGAAACTGGAATCTCCAAGAAGTTTGTAGATAGAATAATTTCCCTTCAAGAAACCGACTGCACGTGCAAATTTTTAAGACCGTATTAAAATAAAAAACAGCTATGTATATCCAGATATCGATGATATTGGGCTTGTTGAAAGAGGTGAAATTATAAAGAAGCTGACCGTCAAGGAAATTCTAAGAAGAGGTCAAGTAAAATTCAACGAATTTTTAGATTAAATGTTTACTTTTTTTTGCTGCTACTGTTTATTTGCTCTAATTTTAAGTTTGTAGAATGTATTTTGATTTAAATAAATGTTTTGTACCTAGTTTATGATGCTCTGTTAGTTTTCAGGTTTAATTGAGAATAAAATAGTTAAAAAAGTGTGTTTTTATTGTATTTTATTGGATTTTCATGAAACCCAGTGCTAATATTTTTTTTTCTCGTTTTCATCTAACCCCTGAAGCGGTCTAACTTGCAAATTGCGGTGTTTAAAAGCAAGTTTTCAAGTAGCCCCATCGCGGGGCTACTTGAAAATGACACTAAAATATTTTTTTTTGGAAAAAATGTGAGGCCTAAAATTTTTTCTAATACAGTTACAGCTTCTTTAGGCGTGAAAGTTTAACAGGAAAATTTTTGTTTTTGAGAAAATTGCGTGTTTTGATGCTGACCGATGAAAGTTTCCAAAAAGTTTTATCAAGTAGCCCGGTACTCAAAGGTAATTATTTAAATAAAATAAGTCCTTTCATTTTATGATGAAAAAAAAAAGAATATATTTAATAAGTAGTTATATGCGCCAATATTTTTGATCATAAGATAATATTTTGGAATCAAACTAAACTACCTATCTATAAAGAAGAAGCATGATATTTTTGTGAAGGATTTTTACTAAACTGTTTCCAATTTTTTAAATCAATTTAACAATAACTTTCATGGTCTTGATCTTTTTAAATTTTGTTCGATTTTGGGTAAAAAGCACTGAAAAAAAAGCTTGTAAAAAAGATAAATTTGAACATTTTTTAGATTTGCTAAAACAATACGTATTTTTTTGCATTTACTTAGTACCTATTTTTTTTATTAAATATTTGTTTTGGAGGGTGCACTGAAGAAATACCATCATCTTCAAATGCAATTATACTCGATTTGATGAGAGTCTTCT